GACAGCCCAAGAGGTAACATGTTCACAGAAGAGCTCGCCGTTGTCGTTGATGGCTAATTCATTGTCTGTTTTGGACAGCGCTTGCAAGTGGTCGTCAAGCCGGTTGCGGAACATGGTCAAGTCGGACACAGAGCCAGGCTCGTGAGGACTCATGTCGACAAGGAACCCCTGCAGGTGAGACGGATGCCTCAATCTTGAATCCGTACAGCTTTTGCTTTCTACTGAAGTAGTGCTTCTGCTCCCCAAAGCGGCCGGCAGAACGATGCGCAGGTTGGAATTTAACGTCGGTCGCGTGCAAGGCGTACGGAAAGCGGGCGAAGACCTTGCCTTTGGTGCGGAGAGACGTCATGGTTGGTTTGACAACAAACGAATCGTAATGGAGCTCGGAGCAGACGGCCATAACCCTCACGACAAGCTTCTTCAACGTTGGCGCTTTGAGACCAAAGTCAACGGCATGTTTTTCCAGGACTGGTAGTGTTTGAGCACCGTTAGTGTAATGAAAAACGCATCTTTGGAAGATGTGGCTGATTTACGTCCTCTGCCTTCCTTCCAGCGAGATGTCATGGCGATTTCAGCTTGCTCCCTAATTACTTCAAATCCTTCCGGTGTAAAGTTGGCAAGCACACGAATTCCTTCGGCACCAGCTTCTTCAAGCGTTTTGTCCATGATGGGGTTGGCAGTTTCATTATATTCACCATCGTCCAGCACATCGTCGCTATATTCGATGAGACTTTGCTGTAGGTACTGATTGTCCGAGGTAGTCTGGTCCTGGAGCCGCTCCAGCATGGCGGAAATGTTGATGCGCATTGTACCAAAGAGACTGAAGAGTGATGAAGTGAAGAGTGGACAGAAGGCAGTCTAGTTTATTTGGTAGAGATTGAGTGCTCGTGGTCATTGGCGCGTAATGTTCCAGCCAACGAAATTGGTGCCAAAGGGTGACGGAGATATACCTCTATATCTACATGTTTGATCAGTTAGTTACGATTTTGGAAGTATATGAGTAATTTACGAAGTTGCTCGATCACTGTTGTAGCTATCAG